TGTGTGTGTGTTTCGCAAACCAACAAATGACAGGAGCTTCTTGGCAAGCGGCTGAACTTTGCAGGGCCAGAACATCTACATGGCTTATCCGTATGTTTTTGCCTTGCACTTTCCTGATTCACGTGCAACCCAACAAGACATTCTCAACAGACTCCTCTGAAAGAAACAACCTTCCTTCCCCCTTTTAGGCTGGGAATTCCCAAGTCTCTTGGCGTCGCACTTGGCAGACAGGGCCTCACTCTCCAGGCAAAAGCCCCTGCCGCGGCGGCGCCGACACCCACGCCGGCGCCGGCGCCAGCGCCGGCGCGCGGCCCAAGTTGAGGGCGTCCATCGAGATGTTGCCATTCCTTTGCCTTGTGGTTCGTTGAAGTTGACATATGCACCTTGATATGAGTGTGTGGTTGTTGCTTCTTGATTGTCGGTTTGGTTGTTTGTTTGTTTGTTTGCTTCTTTGTTTGTTTGTTTGCTTGCTTACTTGTCTGTTTGCCTGCCTGCCTGCCTGCCTGTTTGAACTTCCTTGCTTGCTTGCTTGCTTGCATGCTTGCTTGCTTTGCTTTCGCTCGGTCCTTGTTTTGACTTTGTCCGTTTGGCAGTTTTAGCGGTCTTTCTTGGGGCCATGTTTGAAGAATGGTCATTTTGGCTGGTCCAGTTGGATTGGACCCCGACCGGCCCGGCAGAGTCCTGTTTTGGTCATTTCCGGCCAGATCCTGAAAATTGGTTAATGTGTGGAAGCAGGTTCCCTTTACAGGAAACTACAAGGGAAATCGTGTATACAGGGGAGCCCAAGGCTTTTTCCAGTTCCCCCAGAAAAGGAGTATGATTCACTCCTTCACCACGGACTGCGAAGTGGAGCAACGAGTTGCTTGTCTTAACATGCAGCGCCGAAAGTTCCTTTGCTCCTGCTGCTTGTATGAGTCTAAGGCCCATAATGATGAGCCTTCATATAGCTATAATCACCATAATCAAGCTTGATGATGCGATCCCAAGTCTTTGATCTGTGTGAGGCCGAGTAAATGGAAGGAGCGCTTATCATCTTAGTGTCGACTGCCTGAATATACCGAGGGTCCTTCATTCATTGGCAACTGCATTTCGATGTCCTTGCTTGGAGGGCTCGCCAGCCCTGTAGCCATCGTCCTCGGGTTCTGACCAAAGACAAAGTGCAAGTTCACAACCCGCCAGTTGCACTAGGGCCAGATACGTTGCCAAACTTTGCCGAACCAGCTGCCAAGCAAGTTGCCCATCAAGCAAGACTAAGTTGACAAGTGACTTCGCCATTCCATTGTCCAAATATGTCCAACGCCCAACGCTATCAAAATGAGTTGCCAAATCAGGCGACTGCGCCTATGGGAAATTGGGCACTCCGAATTGTGTCCTAGGCTGCGGCCCCCACTCCAGCTCCGGCGCCGCCAACGCCGGCTGCGCAGAGCCAAGGGGATTTGAGGCGAAAGGGCGGAATCTTGCTGGTGCGATAGGCAGGGAATGAGAAGTGGAATGACCCCTATAAACCATCCAACTGGTGGTTTCCTGTAAGGGGACCGAAGCCTGGGTTCATTTCCTTATTCCCGACTGAGCATCAGCAAGAGTTCACATTGGCTTCCAATCATGGACACAAGCAACTAAATGGAGAATGAGGGTGATCATCGATGCGTTGATGACTTCTTGAAAAGAAGAGTTGCCAGGAGAACAACCGTGTTGGGAGAACCGCGCCCATCAATCCCCAGGTATTGCTTTAGCTCGAATTCAGGGAGCCGTCAAAATGGTTGCTGACATGTTGATGCCTTTGTTTCAACCAACAGTGAAGCCATGCCCAGTCCTCTCAGGGTTGATATAGCAGCACAATTCGAGTGGGAGTCTCAAATCATTGGTTGGGTCCCTATGTTGTTGTTTTTTTTCATTCAAGGATGTCAAGCCAATCCATGTTGAGCCAAGGTGGTGCCTTTGAATGCTGGGGCCTCGGGAGCTTGCTGCATGCCTTGACTCGCCACTCTCCGTGGTGTTGGGAGCTGAACACCGTCGCGGTTGTACTTGGCGCGTTTGCGAGAAGTGGTTGTGGGACGCTTGGATTCCCTGAACATGGTCAACTTGGCACCCCCTGCTGCTGGGTTTCACACGCATGCCACAAGGTGCAGCAACACTGATCCTAAAAGCCGCATTCCTCCTTCCACAGGACAAGGTGCACAGAGTATGACATTCCCAATGTCTGAGCGCATATGTTCTGGCAAGATGGCGAGGCTGCCCCACAGAACACGTACAGAGCCTGAGGAAGACGCCGTGCAGAGCCTCTGCGAGATGGGCTTCCCCCGAGACCAGGCAGAAAGCACAGGGATCCGGTCCTGAATGTCTTGTTTTAAGCCTTCAAACGAGGCAGCTCTTGTGGATGTGCTCGACCTTCTTGCAGCAGTTGTTTCAATTGGCAATATGCTTTCAACTTTCAGCAGCCTAAGAGCACTCCAGTGACCCTAACGGGGGCTGCCAAAAGGGGTCAAGTGTTGGGATGCGACAGGCTCAGTTGTGGGCGGGTTGACCAGACGTGACATGACATTGTGGTTCTCATTGTTTCATGGAAACCCAAAAGACTAGAGAAGCCAGCTACGTTTCTAGATTCTGCAAGTTGGGCCCAATCATCGCTCCATTCGATGCTAATGAGCTTCTGACCAAAACGGTGTATGGATTGCAGGGCTATTGGGGCACGGGACCCTTTGTCAAGTCTTGCCTTACATGCAGAAGCTCAATGACGGAGACGTATGTCCTTACCCTTCTGAATGGCTGTGACAGGGACTCAGATCACCTGTAGTAAGAAATAAGTCTCATTGTCAGTTGCTCACATTGACATGAGCTCGATGTGTTTCGCCTGAGAGGGCTGCTTTGAAGCCAAACGTTCAGGGGTCTCTGAAGGAAAGATCCAATCAGCCAGCTGTAAAGCAAAGAATAACATACGGTTCCCATTTCATTTGCAGTTTGCTCTGAAATAGGTGATCTTATTTACAATTTGTCGTTTGCTGTGTAGACCACACAGTGTCTTCAGGATAGATCGTGAACGCCTGTGTTTGTTTGTGTTGGGCCTTGTAGAGGGATGTTTCAACAAATTGGGCTTGAAACATTCCCTGTGTAGCTCTAGGCAAAGAGTGATCGAGCATGACTGGCAGCTGCTGACACAAAGAGGTGTGCATTGGTTTTGTTCATTTGTTGAGCCTCAAAGGACTCAAAGCCAACCCACGAGCTGCAGAATGATGGATGCGTCAGGCAGTTTCTGCTGCATAGCGTTAGTGTCCGTCAAACTCCTAGCTTCAATTTGCACCGTTATGTAGGTTCGTTTTCAATTGTGTCAGCAGCGTGCACCAGTGACAGACTTTCTTATGTACACTGCCCGCTATTTAGGCACTTTGCACTTGAGGATTTATACATTATGGGTGTGAGGGTGGGCTTTAGGGTCCAACTTTAGGACGTGCGAAATGGCTTGCAGGTTGAGCCTGCCTTGCGAGCAGCCAATGGGAACCCCTCCCTGGCAGTGGAGCAGCTCGGACGAAAATTGGGCGAATTGATCGAGATGCCTGTCGCTTTGAGGGCGTGCTTGCACACAGCCAACGGGAGGGTGATATTCAACTCAAAGGATAATGTTTTGTTTCAGCGGGATCCCTGAGTTTTCAGGTTGGTGAAGTATGACCAGAGGAGGTTTAGAAACAACTTCCGTGGTCGGCAACCAATTGAAAGCTGGCTCTGTGACCGAAGAGAAGAACAAGCACACGCACATCACGTGCAGGGGAATCGCAATGTTCAAGAAGTGCAACCCTCTGCCGGTTTCGGTTCCTTGGGGTGCTCGAAGGTTAGCCTGATCGCGACGCCTGGTCGGAGCGCTCGCGAACGGTCTCGGAGCGTGTTCGGAGCGCGAGGCGCAGCGCTTTCGCAAGGCCATGTACAGGTTTCGTGGCAGGCGTATCACTTTCGCAAGGCCTGCACAGATCTCGTGGCAAGCGCAGCGCTTTCGGAAGATAGGCAGACAGATAGATGGATGGATGGATGGATATTCAAATCCGTATAGTTCCTAGATAGATAAACAGGTAGATACACAGATAGATGGATAAATAGATGTAAGACCACATTAACTCCTAGATGAATAAGAAAGGCGCGTAGACAGATAGACTGGTTGATTGGTTGAGTATTGACTCGCGCTTACCGCATCTCGCGGGATACCGTGCATGCTTCCGGCTCACGCGGACCTGTGTTTTCTAAGGCTAGACATGTGCGGCTATCCGTCCTTTTAATTTTAAGTGTCGGTTTTGGGTGTTGGGGTATCACGTTTTGGTGCAAGCTTCCTGTGAACTTTGGGTGGACGATGTTCAAGGGGGAAGGGAAAACTTTGCCTTTGTGGTGGTAAATCAAATCCATATGAAGCCATAGAAAAGACAAAAGGTGGATGTGCCCCGTATTTTTCGTTGTTACTTTAGTGTCAGAGCGGAGGTCGCTGTTTGACCTCTCTCTCAAGAGTCTTCAATATGGGGTGCTTAGCCAGAGTGTGGAGCCCTATGCCCTTTGAAATGCGAACCAACAGGTCCTACATGCCCAATGCACAGACCCTCCCTTGGGTAGTTTCAACAGGAAACCAAGAGACATCCCACTGAACACGGGGGAAGTGCTCGTCGTTAGGACACATGCATGGGCGTAATGTATATATATATATAAGTTGCACATTTAGTTGTGTTTGTCCCGTTTTTCCTGGCCAATCGAGATGTGCAGGGACAACCCCACCCAATACTCGGCAGTTTTCACCTTCGTAGGTCCTGAATTACCGAGCAAGTAGGTAGGTTGTTTGCAGTGGCCGGGTGCTGGTTCCAACCTGTTTTAAATCAACTATGCAGCCTCCGCAAATACCAAAATTAAACACGCGGCATGCTTCATCGGGCTTTCATGGACCGATATGCCAGGTCTGCTTCCAAACACCCTCCCCCACAAAAACTGCGGATACCTCTATGTTGGAGATTGCGAACTTACTTGTGAGGCCCGGGTGGTTTCCCCATTCACCCATGCAAGGGTCCCTGAACTTTGGGACCGTTGGAGGTACCCGGCACCATGTACCCCGATTCTTTGGAAGACCATGCATCCCCGTTTGTGGCTATTTGCCACCTAAGTGGTCTATGGGTTTGGGGCCGTCAAGGCTAAGCCCTTAGGGAGTCATGGGATAAGTAGATGACAACGGTCCCTGAGGTTCTTGATGAGCGGCATTCCCGCAGGCGTTGGTGGAGGCCGGCGGACACAGACACCAATTTGGGATCTCTTTTGAAAGAGAGACAAAGAGGAAACCACTACATGTGCATAAGGTGATCCCTACATTATGTTGCGGACATGGCCTCCCTTTCTGCTGCCTTGACAAGAATCCGTCAGAGTTCTAGTGCTTTTGTACAACACCTGAGAGACTGGCCTTGGTTGTTAGAGAACATCTTGGTGGGTTTTATTGGTGTTCACAGCACAAATGAAGAATGTTCAAGAGGGGGGGGCCTGCCAGAATCTAGTCGTACTCGCTTTTTGACTGCAGTACATTTGCGGTGGGTAGGAAGACTCTGAGCTTCGGCTTCAGATGATGCTTCTCAGTTTCAATTGGAATTTGGTTACAGAGTCATGAAGATGCTTGCACCCGTGCCCCCGGATGTTTTTGGGGTCTATGGGCTCAAGCACTAGCCAAGGAAAAGCCAAGGCCTGAAGAACCCAATCGTTGCCCCGCCCCCATAGACGCCCTCGTCCTGGAGGAAATGTCTACAGTGTCAAACATGACACATCCCTCATCGTTTCCGGGTATTTAAAGTTTTGTGTATAGTTCCGGTGTGTTTCAGGGGGAATCTGGCAAAACATCATGAGCTACTCTGCTCCCTCAGATCTCAGCCAGGCGATGCGGGTGGGATGGCAGGCGTGCTGTTCTTAGTTGAAGAATTGAAGCAAGATGGTAGACAGCTTCAATTTAATGGCTCGGCAAATCAGAAAAAGAGAGGACAGCCAGTATTTGGACGTTGCCCCGCTGACCTTTGGACGAACTGACCAAGCGACTGAGAAACCGACACACACTGCAGATAACAAGCAGCCTTTTGAAGTGGGTATCATCTCGGACGAAAATGACATATCGTCTGGTTTCAATCCACTTTGTCCCTTATGCCGTTGTGCAGGCAAGGATGGCTGCAGAAGCTATGTGTGACTCACATGCCCTGGCTTTTGTTTGCGGATGCCGCCACCTCGATTGATGTGGTGTCTGATGGAGTAGAGTCATTGTTTTCGCGAGAGTCGCTGCAACAGCGAAAACCAGACTGGGCAGGATTCAAACACTTAGTGTACGTCAAAGGACATCTAACAACTCTTCACCGATTTCTTTGAACACGTGGGAGTTCTACGCTATTTTTCAGGAGAGCAGAGACGCGGGGGATTACTGGGAGATATAGCCAAGACCATGGTTGCTCAGCGGCATCCTTTGCCCAGTTTTCTCCCACCGTTATGCCCGATCTTTCAGAGGTGTTTGGGCAACTATGGACACCCCTCTTTGACACATGGCCTGTGGGGGAACAACCACATCAGAATCTCCCTGCGACCTCTCTATTTCTGAGGCTCCAGCTCCGATCCCCACTACTCCAGGCGAGTTGCATCGCCGAGACCACGCTCGTTGCACGAATGGCTTGGTCTCAAGGGTGCCCTTGCACGTGCCGGTTCAACCATCGACGCCCTGGTCGTCAACCAAGTACTAAAAATGGCCCATGGCGATGGGTTCGAGGGCATACAGTCGGCCTTCAAAAAGTTGCTGGACTTGGTGGTCTTTGGGACCAATTTGGTGGGAGACGACATGGGTTGTCTTATGCACGCCCAAAAGGCAGTTTCCCCGGGCAGGAGGTGAGGCATGCATTGTTCGTTTGATGCCGGAGGCTGGGCTCCCCGCTTGAATTCGCCAACGACATACTGTAATATCTCACCCATCCCCATATGTTCCTCTCTTGGTGGCTCAAAAGCGTTCATCGTTTCCTGTTTGAACCATTTAGGAGCGGCTCTCTTGGTAGAGTCGAGGTTTTCAGGGAAATAGAGAACCATGCGTTTTGCGTTAGATGTTTTTACATACTGACTTTTATCTTGCCATCATTCACTCTCCCAAAGAAGCAGGGAACCCGAAAGCTGCTTCCCTCGAAAGGACCAGGGGGGTACTTCAAGCTTTTGGAGAGGTAGCCTTCGGAGTGGTCAGCCAATTATTGGGCATGTCTCAATGAGAGAGGGGTTTGCTTGTTTTGTGACGCGAACGCCACGCAATACTCGCAGCCACCGAATGGCAAAAAAGCAGGAGAGCAAAGCAAGGACCATAAAGGCACTGTCAAGGCCAATGCCTTCCTGAAGCAAATTGCTATTGGCAACGCGCCAAGTTGTCTCTGAGTTCATGAATTCCAGATTAGCGGTCCCCTTGTGGTTGGAAATGATTCTGCAGAGTATGATGGGAACCTGTCCTTGTTGGCCCCAGATGTTGCTTTTGTTTTTTGACTGGAGCCAAACACATACTCCGCGTTTCACCCGCCGATTTTTGTTGGAGTAGACTTCAACTGTATCACTTTCTGCGAACTTAACATGTTGTCTAAATATCCCAGAAATATTTCAATATGTACTTGCCTTTTTCAGCATATTTTGCATACATATCATATAATAGATATACATATATATATATATGTATGTAGACGTACAGGACATTTGTTAGGCTGTCCGGTTTGGTCCTTGGCAGTCTCGCGCCAGGGGACAGCGAGCCGATGCCGGAGGTTCTGGAGCAGCTGAGATCCAATCCTCAGCTCCCCGGCGAATCTGACGCTGTGCCATGCCGCTTTGCGATGCTTCCCAACGGTCAACGGATTTCAGGGCTCCTTAAACGATACATTATGACACCAGTTGAAACATGGGTCAAAAGTATGTAGCCAAAATGGAGCCCTGGTAAATGGAAACATGGGCTAAAACAAGCGGTTCCCTGGTGGCTCAATTTTGACCCGTACCCATTTGAAACATGTTTTTTTCCAGCCAAGAGAAAACCCACCAGGTACAAGGCAATGTTCAGGTGTATACCGTAAGGATCCCTGGATTTGGTGCACAGATGGCGCCTTTCGGACTCCCTCGAAGCGTCATTCCGAAAGGGGCTGGACACTGATTGTAGGAAGACCTTCATACAACTTGTAGGTGGGATCATGAGGTTTAGACTATCCATCCCAATTGTTACATGCGGAGCAGGCTACACAGGCGGGGTTCTCCGGTCCTTTGATTTATCGTCCCCCTTGAAGTCTCAGAGGCAGATTCATTATGACTGTCTTGAGCGGCACCTTGTGTGTAGCATGTGCGAACATTGATGTGAAGCCAAAATTAGTTTCACCCAACTCGTGCGTTTGGAAATCCACCGAGCTCTTGCGTGAGGTTCGGACAGCTTGCGGCATTGATCGCCAGCAACCCGCAGATGCTGGCGGGGCAGCCAGATGACGGATGAAAGTTTGGCTGAACTCCCGAATGCTTCAACAGTCAGGGGCCCCAAACGAGTGTGAACAAACGGGTTTCAGCTTTGCACCAAAGGACAATCGTGTAGCAGCGTAGCATCCTAGAACCCAGTTGTTAGAACCCATTTAGGGTCACGCAAGACGGGATGGGTTCTGAATGAACCCCCACACCAACATGCACTGCGTTATAATTCAAATCCCGCTTGTGATGTCCTGTTGGGGACTGTTAGTCCCCATGCAGCTGTGAGTGAAAGCCAGCTTTGTTTCGGAGCCCGAAGAGCAACAGCGACCCAATGTTGGTGCAAGTTGCAGGAACATGTTAATGTGTCGAACTGGTGTTGACACACAGCCAGCCTGTGTTCACACGGTCACGACTGAGGGTCAGGTGATGCAAGGCGTCCAACAGAGCCACCCGGAGATTGCCCAGGCGCGCAGGTCGTTGGTGAGATTGCCAAGGCTTGCTAGTCTGAGTTTGGGGAGGCTGTGGAAAGTCCCGCCCCACAGAAATGTTCTATGAATTTCTATGAAACAGAATGGAGGCCTAGGCGGCCTACCCCATGTTCCAATGTCCTCTTGGAGAACATAGACAGATTGCCCGTGGCTTCTGGCAGCACGCGTGCTGCACCTTTGCCCTGCCTTAGCGGAGCTCGAAGAAACATGCAAGCCCCACAACGCATACGCCACCTGGGCCCACTGTTTGTAGAGCTCGCCTTTTGTGTGCCAGAGGCCAGAAGGATAATTTCCGTGTGGCCGGGCCAATATCCAGCTTTAGCCCAAGCCAAGACCCTTGTCCACATGCCCCTTGCCCTCCGAAAACCTTCCAGGGAACCCACCAAGCGCGCGCGTCCCAATGTAGGGGGTTCCTTAAAACCTGCTTTGTTTATGGATTCCGGGATTCCTTTAAAACAGCTGATTCCTATTTAACATCTTTCATATACAGGCCGCTGCCCAAACAGATCCAAATGTTCCAAAGGACAATCAAAAGCACCCCGATCAGGCGATCCAGCAGCACCCAGAGGCCTTCATGCGGCTGCTGCACGAGGCCCTGCGCGCCACATGAGATCTGGGCGTGGCCCATGCTGGACTCCAACCTCCAGCCTCCAAAAAGCGAGTGTTCAACTGGGGAATGCGAAACAAGAGGCACACAACTTTTGTTCAAGTTCAACTTCTTGGTTTTGGAGTCAGAAAGGCACTTGGCTGAGTTCCATGTGCTCCTTGCGTGAGGCAACAGGAGTCAACCTGGCCGATGAGGAGCTTGCACAGTTGATGCCTGGATTGACTGCGTTGTCCTTGTATCCCTTCTGTTTTGCTTGGGGATTTAAACATCACCTGTCGGACTCATTTTGAGTTTCCTTTGGGTGGGGTGGTGTCAAAACGGGGCTGTAAGGGAGTTTGGTACTCAGCAAACTCCTCGGTGCCAGGGTGCATGTGAGCTACCACTAAAAGGGTTCGTGTGAGGGATACATGTATTGGAGCGAAATAGGTCAAACAACCCAAACACACAGGTTAGCTTTTAAAACGCAGAATCCTTATGTGGCCAAAAACGCTCAAAGGCGAAGGCGTCTCTGTAAAGCGAAGGATCCAAAGATATAATGGCACATCCGAGTTTCGGCAGCGGCTTATGTTGATTGGTGTTGAGCAAGTGACGTCATGCCACATGCATCTTGGCTCAAGCTGTCAGTTTTACATGCGCAGAGTCATGTCTCCGAAAATCGCCAGCGTGGTCTTTGTGAGACACGGTGAGAGCCAGGGCAACGCAAAGAATGTCTACACGGGCTGGGACGATACGCCGCTGAGCATTCGAGGAGAGCAAGAGGCGGTGGAAGCCGGGCTTTGCTTGAAGGCAAAGGTTGCAAAAATCGGTGGAATCCTCAAGCAGTCATGCCCCCTATTAAGGGAAGTCTGCATGAATACATGCATGCAAAAGTTACTCCGACAAGCACATGTTTTTGCCGTGTTTCTGCATACCATGTTTATGCCATGTTTATGCCATGAACATGACCCTGTTTGGCCGACCACAGATCTCAAACAGATGACCGTTTCTGTCTCGAACAGGCGCTTTTCCTTTCAGGTGATTACTTGGATGAACGCCCCATTCAATAAGTGGTCCCAGATGTATGTACCCGGCCCAAGCGGCATACTGAGCAGAGGTATGCCTCTTGGGGTGGTTGCCAACCTTTGAGGCAAAGGGCCTGAAGTTCGATGTGGTGTTCACGTCGGCGCTTCAGAGCCTTGCCCAATTCGGGCGGGTCGACGAGTTCCGATCCGGGCGTCCTTCGGTATATTTCATGTGTGGTGTTGCCCGCAGGTCGAGCCATGGGGTAGGATTGTGGGCAACAGACATGCCGCATTTGCGACCAACCATGATTTGTGATATTTTGTGGGGAGGGGGGGGGCATGTGTTGGGGTGAGGGGCAGGGCTGCAGGTTTATTGTTGTTTTTGCAGGGCTCAGCGTCCTAGTCGTACAGTACACATTTTCCCTGGTCACAATAAAGTGGCTTGGCCCTCCCACTTGATCGGTGCCATGCTTGTGGAAGGAAGGTCAGTATGTTGCGACCCCTGAGACCCTGATATCAAAATTTGGCGCCTTTCAAAGGGAGTCGAGATCAACGTGGGGTTGAGCAGTCCGCACCCATCACCCAGCGCCAGACCATGACCTCTGAACAAGTTGTAAGAAGCTATAACGAGCTTTGAGGAGCGAGCTTCCCCGTGAAGATCCCTTTTCTGGCGGCTTGCCATATGGACGTCTTTTTTGAGGGCACCCCTTTTTCTGTGGCCTCAAAAGAGAAACCGCAAGGAGGATCACTAGTTGTTGTTGTCTTTTTGTGTTTTTTTGTTTTCTTTGGAGGGTCCCGTAAGAAAAGGACACATCCACAAACAGCTCGTGTTTTTCTCAAAACATGTCGTCACATGTTCAACGAAGAACTGGCGGAGTGGCGCGGCCCAGGCGCGCGGTTCGCACGGCGGAGATGGCCATGCGCGTCTCAAAGAACCAGAAGGCGGAGATCGAAAAGAGCTGCCTGGAAGCTGATAAGATCTAATTATATCCGATAACTTGCCTCCCCCAATACTCAGGTTTTTGCTCAACAAATTTCCTTGTTGCTGCAACAATGCATGTAAATTGCACTGTCCCGCTTCTAGCAAGAGGAGTCTCGCTGGTGTTCGTCGCGGATCCCCCATAAAAGGTATGGAAGCGGGGTTGGGCGTACCCTTCAGAAAGCACCCTTCTCGACAATCACATGTTCCTGTGAGGGAAATCAACAAAAGAACCAGCATTACATGTTCCTGGGTTAAGGGAAATCAAGAAAACTCGGAGAACCCTTTTGTCCCACGGCTCAAAGAAAACCGCCATGTCCCACTCCCAAAAGCGCGAAGACCAGAGCTGCCAAGGCTGGCGCCTGAATGCGCGGCACTCGGGGGGCCTGCAGGGCCTCACCCAGGCCGACGCCGTGGACCTCTACGGGGAGTCCAAGGTGACTCTTTGGCGCAGCGCCTTGGCCGAGCGCCGCGACCTCGTTTTCGGGCGCGAGGCGCCGCGTTGGATACCGAAAACATGGCGAGGGAATATGGCAGGAGGGTTCATTGGTCCAAAAAGAGGGGGACCAAAAGGGGGTAAGGGGGTTCCTGAAGTTTAAGTCCAATAGATTCAAGCTCTTGCACATGGGTGCAGGGGGCGGTTGGGGGCGTTGATGCGCGAGCAGTGAAACCGGGCTGCTTTTTGCCTTGCAGAAGAAGGGTTGGCACCTGCCCTCACTTGCCTACATGTGGCCTTGGATCAATGGGACCTTCCGAGCCGCCAACGTACTGCAAACAAACCAGCACGCACCAAAACAATGGGTCCGATTTCAAGCTTGCGTTTGATTCTAGTATTTGGAAGTATTGCCGAAGCTTTTTGCTGAGCCGGGGGGTTGGACTAGCACAAAGTCTACACAAAGTCTGGCTGCGATCTCACCAAAAAAGCTCCTTTCTTGGGGTCCTCTCATGTCAGGTTGGCGTTTTTCTTTGTACTTCAACCAGACATACCTAGACTGAAGTCTCAGTTTGAGCAAGTATTATTGGTTCAAGTTGCGTCTTTAGCATATCTGGAGCTTGCTGCTGAGATTGGAATTGAGTTCCTATGTGATGTAGTAATTACTTCTGGCTTTGAGTCTTCTCTTGATTTATGACTGTGAGATACGCATATTTGTACACAAAGGAGAAAGCAAGCAGTGTTGGGGTGTTTCGCACTGCTACTCGGTTTGTTCTTTGTGGGATGGATGTGTGGTGTTGTTTGCGTTTGGCGAGTTGGCGAGGTCCAAAAGATCACAGGACGTGTTATTGTTGTATCGGACGGTTGTTTTGGTTTAGGATGATGGGGATTTGTGTTTGTTATTCTAGTTGGAAAAAAATCAGGAGGTTGTCAATCTTCACCCAGGGCTGACAAGCCCCTAGTTAATGAGGTAGCCCCCCCTGTGAATCCGCGCTGGGGGGTTTGAAACGATCCAGTGTGAAAAGTAATTGATTTCAAGTTGTTGAATGCAATTAGCCCAAGGAACATTTACGGTAAGAGAACGGCTGGCACAACGTGCGGACAGAAACATTCAATCGTGGTGCATCTTTGGTGTTCCAATCCGCCATGAGGGAGTCAATCAGTCAATGTCTGTGTGTGTGTGTGTGCGGGGGTTCTTAATCACAAACCAACAGGAGGTTGTCTCGTTGCAGGGAGAGATGTTGGACACATCTCCGTATCAGTTGTTGTCGAGCGCGACTGGAGGTACCGCTTGAGAAAAGGGAGTTGTACAGTTTAATGCCGGCATGGTGTGGGCAAGCCAACTTCGAGGTAGGGGGCATTTCGAATGCTGCAAGGTAGCTACGATATCCTCCCGGCCTGTGTCGAGAAAGACGAGCCTTGGCGAAGATGAGCATCGAGATTGCGAGAACATGAAGCGCAGTACATCGGAACTGGGTAAGCGGATGGTAAATCTCCAAGTCTTCGCCTTGCACCTATACTACACTTCAGCATATACTCCTTTGTCATACCCCTGCGAAAACGACCCCAAACGGCTTGGTTGGAACCAGACGCCAGAAGCCTATCGGAAACGACACAAATTTTATTGAAGGTTCCTAGCTAATTCGGGCACGGCCAACTTTGAGCAATAGCCGTACTCTTTCACATTCAACTATTTGAATACAGGAAGCCAGGTACTCTCTCAAATTCAGCATGGACACGTCAACGGATACTTGTGCTGCAAAAGGACAAGGGGCATCAACACGTCTATGATTGCGTTTGGGGGGAGTTTTGTTCTTTTGCACCAGCATTTGTTTGGCGCCTTGTGATCATGATCGCTTGAGAAAGGTATCAGTCTGCTTCTATTGTAGGTTTGGATTGGTGATGGCGTTGTACTGGAGTTTGTGGAAATCAGATGAAAGACTTCCTGGGCCACCAACTGGCGAGATGATATCGGGGCCATCGCCATGTGGCTTCGGTCAGCTCATAGCTTCGTGGAAAGCTCAAGAGGCGACCTTTTACGGAGCGCTCAAGTCCTTGACTGGATTCGACTCTCTGGGTCCAATCTGAAAAGTTGCTGCTTGGTTGGCAACTTGTCTCAACTTTTGGGGCAAGGCGGAGAGACAAAGGTTGAGTTTCTATGTTCAGTGGGGTTTTGGAGTCAGTTGTTCCCTTCCAAGGATCCCCGGCACCCCATCAACGACCCCACCTACAAAGATGTGGATCCTGAGCTGCTGCCACCGGGTGGGGAGTCTCTGGCCTGCACGGTCAAGCGGGTGATGCCTCACTGGAAGGACTCCTCCGGAAAAGCTCGGGATGGGTCGGCGGGTGGTTGTTCTGTGTTGTTCTTAGTTGTGTGGGGCCATCCATGCCAAACTAGGATTTGCTCTTGAAATCCGTTGAACGTATCGATCTCACCGATTGAGGCTTTTGTTTCTGAGTTGGAGTGTTCGCACAGATCTGATATCATACCAGTATACCAGTGGGGTCCTTTCTGGACACAGCCACCAACGTTAGGAGGACGTGGGAGCTTGTTTGGGACACGAGGTTTCCTGTGCTGGATATGGCCCTTATGGCAAAACGAACAGGTGCAAAAAGGATGGAACGGGGACACAGCAAAAACAAGCATACCCAAACTGCATGTTGACACATTTGGTCATGTACTAAGTCATGTTTGAGGGGGCCTTTTTGGCTTCGATGTTTTTCAGCCGGGAAATACCCATGCGAAGACAAGCCGTGTTGCTTTCTAGACACGTAACCACACGGGGATTGCATCCAAAGGCCAGCTACGAACCGCCTTGAAAGCCGACTCCTTGGCGGGTGTTACTTTGGGCTTCCAGGTGTTTCAGGGATGAAACTTGCTTTTTCCACTCCCCTGGTTTGGAATAGAATTTGCAACTCACATTAACTCTTGTTTTTTTGTGGTGGTGACGCAGTGGTGCCGGTGATGCGGCAAGGTGCTGCACCCGACCGGTGCTGTTTTGCTTTTTTTCCGCTAATGAGGGCACTGACCTATTTCTACGCCGTTCCGACTTGCCTTTGCAACGATGCGTTTGTTTGTGAAAGTGCGCATTGGGATCAAAGTGGCCAAAGTTGGGAGTCGCCTTTGACGACGTTCGTGCCGTCGAAAGGGCCAAGGGCCCAGACCTGAGAAGTGAACTCAAGCTCTCAGGACCCCCACGGCATTTCACTCACTTCCTGAGTTCCTGAACTTTGCACTTTCTGGCTTGACTGCTATTGGCTTGGATCTTTAAACTTTAACTTTTTGGGAAATCAAGGGATTTTCCACTAAACCCCCAAAAAGTTAAACTTTTTGCAGGGGGGGAAAAGCAACAAATTTGGGAAAGTCGAATTAGTGGCAAACAGAAAGTTTGGTCTTTTTTTGGCCACTCAACTCGAGCCTGGCTTGGTGAGCACGTCAAGCCTGGAACATGTTGGCAGGGGTCAGAGACGGAGGACAACTATGCGTTTTTCCACTGGATGGCAGGGGTCAGCAACGAGCATTACCGCCCCAAAAAAGGTATGTGTTCCGCGCACATTGGCTACCGGGCGATTATGTATATATTGTGTTTCCTCTGGGGATGGTTTGGTGAGGTTGTGGAAAGCATCGGTATTGATCGTTGGCCAGCATCATTTTCTCTTGACCAGAAAGCAGATTCAAAAGCAGGCAGGGTTGGGCTAGTCGGTGCCGCGCTTGTTCTTTGTATGCAATATGGTTGAGAAGCCCGCCAACCATTTCCCCAATGATAAGCTTCCTGTTGAACCCAATACTCCCAACTAAGAACATGCGCATCTCAACATGTTGAATCAGCAGTTGCTTACACATGAAGCAGCTTTAGTTTTATCGTCATGCCGAGATCCATCCGAGCCGGATGTTTGCAACCAACCCTGTGAGGAGAAGATCGTGCCGCGCATCAAGGCTGGCCAGTCAGTCCTGGTTGCTGCGCACAAGAACTCTCTGCGAGCACTATGGAAGTTTTTGGAGCGACTTGGCTTGGTGCTCCCAGCCAAGGCTGAAAAGGAATGGATTAGATGATACAACTGCTGTTTCATCCTTTCTTCCTGTTGATTTGGAGGCGCTCCCACAAAACACAACCAAAGAAAAGGGGCTGTCCTTTCGTTGCTCGCATGGCCGGTGATTGCAAGTTAGTCATGTTTCTTTCTCTTTTTTTTTCTAATGGCCCCAAACTGTGTTCTTGACGGCATATGCGACCCAAAGCAGCCAGATACCAAGTGTGGTTTCGATCCGTGGTCTGGTTGTCTGTCGCTCGGAAGACTTGCACACCTTTCTAAGGTCAACATGGCTATCATTCATAGCGCACTGAAAATGTGGACTGCCGACCTGAGGTTTCGAACACTCGAGGTTTAGTGAGCGTGGTCCCAACCCAAGTCTTATGCGCAGCCTGCTTGATCGGCTTGAGCAGAGGGTGATTCAGCGTGAAGCCGACACGAAGCTCCTTGCGCTCGAGGAATGTACCAGACGAAGATGCGCTGGACATTAAGATGATGCCGGCGAGCGCCCCCTTGGTGATGGAATCTTCCACCTGCAAGTGATTTGGCTGTTTGCGGGCCTGCTAGGCGGAAATTGCTGGGACTGAAACCAGGTAACGCTGTTGTAGTGCCCCATTTGTCAGGTGGGCTCCACCCAGTAAGTTCCCTTTCATGAACCACCCGAAAGGTTTGCCCATATATATATATATATATATATGGTTGCGTATTCTCATGGCAAGCAAGAGAAGTGAAAGCCCTTGATTAAATTGTCCTGTTTTGAAGGAGCGGTTCACTGTTTGTCGCCTTTCAGCATGGGGTCGAACCCAATTCAACGCAAGTTGCTGGTTTCAATCGTGTAACTGGTGAAGCAATCCGAGAAGGCTCCAAGCACCACCTTAGGATGTACTTTGACCCCTTGTGGTTTGTGTAAGTACATCCTCAGAAGGCACTTTGACCCGGCGAAGGAATTTGAGATTCCTCCCGTTGGGGACGACCTGGTCTTCCTGCGCAAGTACAGCCTGAACGCTCCCACCTTCAACCCCAAGGCCTTCGGAGCGAACTCGAGTCAGGAAAAGACGCTTAAACAACAGGAAAAGGACCGCCCTTTGCGCGGTACTTAAAGGACCACCAAGCAGATTGAGGGGAAGGCATTCCCGAATCAACCTTTCTTGTTTGGACCTTTTTGGACTCGAAGCATGGGCAACTTTTCGAGAGCCAAAGCGCGAAGTTATCCAGGCCTTTCTGCCACAGGGACCGGCCGAACATGACCATGGATTCAGGTCGATAGGAACAGCCCGGAAGTATCACACAGCAAGATCTGGAGGAATTGGGTTTTGCAACGTTTTGCATCTATCTCATTTATCTCGCCTCGCAGTCTGACAAGTTACGGAAAACGTCCAACTTCCTGTCCCTTGGTCAGTGTTTGGGCCCTTTCCCCATCAGCCACCAACAAAACAGGATTGCGAAGACATGGCCCCCCACCTAAGAGGGAGGACCTTCAAGAGGCCGTGCTCCCGACAAGAGCATTCGTAAGACTGTGGAGGGGTCTTGCAAGCACAGCCCATTTGGAACGAAAGCCAAAGGAAGCCAACCGTTCTCGGGGTCCGGATTTTCGAAGGCTCCGGAACATCGCCGCAGGTCCGGGTAGATGCTGCGTCGACCAACAAGGCCAGGAAGGTTGGCCATGGTGTCGTTGAATTGGAAAAGGAATCCCGCAACAACTGCAATGGATGAAAGGGCGCGTAACCAGGGGGGGTGGTCGGGGGTATCCCGGATACAGGGTTTTCCTCACACCTTTGGAGGTATGTATGTTCCAGTCCCCAGGCCACCAACCCGCCCATCAAGGGTAGATCCCCACACCCGGCTGCTACGGTCCCGAGACCCCCTCTTCAAGCCCCGGAACTCGCCCCTTGCATCCCAACACGTAGGTCAACTCAACCCACAACCAACCTTAACTTAAGTTAAACCCCAACCCTAAACCAATCCTACACCCTTAGACGCTAACCCTAACCCAGTCCTTCCAGTTACCTCCATGTGCAGGACCAGCTTAGCTTGGTTACCTGCCATATTGGTAACTGACCGCTGGTTCCAGGAACCGCCCGAAACCGTGAACTTGGGCCCGGAACCTGGAAAAAGAGGCCCAGAACAGTGAAAAAGAGGCCTGGAACCGTGAAATAGAGGCTATGCAGGTTACTAGGAGTCGCTGGGTAACTCTAAATCAACCCTAAACCAACCCTAAGCCGACCACGGCCTGGAACATATATGAGAGAATGAGGAATGAGGGCACTTGTTTTCTGGTGTAGCAGTGTCCTTAAATTGGAAAAGGTCTCCTGTCGACGGTGCTTGAGGGGAAGACGCAGGCCAGCCAGTCAGTGAAACGAGAGCAGTACTTTGAGAACACAGCTCGCCAGTGCAGGGTTCTTTGAAGGATACATGATGAAAGTTCTCATGAAACGTGCAGCATCCAGTTTTCAAATGTTCCGGGACCTTGTATCAAAAGGGGCAACGAATAGCAGCTCATGAGCGCCCTGTCGCTTGGAGCAGCCAGCATCAAGTTCGCGCCTCTCATTCCGTACGCGAGTTGGATCAGCCAGGTGCCTTCTGGCCATGTCCCTTTACCATGTGCCTTGCCCAAAGGGAACCCGAGGAACTCCAAACCAAGTCCATTCAAGGCTGCCAATGAAGGTTTGCCCCACCCTTCCATACCCAGACACCTCCATGATGCAGAATCTGTGTTTGAGAAGGCCTTCCAGTGGTTTCAGATGTCAATACATTCCTGGTCTTCTGTGTTCAAGGTCAGCAGGCCTAAATGCTGACGTGTTGCATCTTTGAAGCAGAATGTCAATCAAGTGAGCACTTGTGTTGCACTACTGCTTGCAAAGGTTTCATCAGCCAATCCAAAAGGAAGCCAACCACAGAAATAAATCTCTCATTGTTGGGCACTTTGTCTCCAAATTGTGAAGTCCTCATGGGTGGTTTCTCCTTGGTGTCCCTTTGATTCAAGTACCTTCTAGCTGATTTTGACCCACCCAACCACAGCATTAGAAGATGCTCGAACCATTTGGGATCAGCAAGGGTCGCCTTTTTGCGTCAAGAGGGCCAAATTGCATCCTTAGCTACGATTTGTTGGGCCAAGACGAAAGCGTGTCTTCAGGTCTTCTTCCTGCGCCATGCCGAGAGCCTTGGCAACGCCAAGGGCATTTACGGCGGCTGGGAGGATGCTGCGTTGAGTCTGAAGGGCGAGCAGCAGGCCACTGAGGTGCGGGGCCCCACACGCGTCGCCATGCAGGACGCGGATTGGTATCACGTGACACAAACCCTGCGGAAATGCAGATGATTTTGGTTTGCTCTTTGTTTCTACTTGTTTTGATTTTGACCGTGGAAAGAAGATTCCCAACAGAATTGGGGCTTAAGACCCTCGTGATCTACCTGGCAGAGTGGGTTTCATTTCGTTTCCTCTTGTTCCATCCCAGAGAAGATATGTTTGATCTTCAGGTTTTCGAACTTTGATCCATTGCACGAGCCTAACTGACACGACCTTGAGCTCAGGGCCCTTCTGACTCAACGATTTGTCACGAAACTACGGGTTGCCGGTGCCCATATCAATGCCATTGCAATCCCAATTTGTTTGAGGAACCGTCAGATTTTCTGGATGGGTTTATCTCTCCACCCAAAAACTATATCAGTGTACGTGTCCAATCATCAAGCTCTTTGATGTACACACTGTCAAGTGTTGTCTTGAACACCAGGATCTAATGATCGAGCTTTCAAGAACCCGGTTTTTGAAGCAGTATGCTATGCACGTATCCTCTAAGGGACATGCCGCTGAAGTGGTTCGAACAGATCATAATTTGAGCTGCCTTGCATTCCAGTTGGTGACTGCAACGTGCTTGTTGCTTCACTTGGTACAAGCAGCTATTGCCAGGAATGTAGTTCGCTTTCCTCGTCAAGCGCCAGATAGTCTAGAGACTTCCCTGTATCTCCCGTTGCTTTGCATTGACAACCGTCAACCTTTTGGCTTTGTGGAAACGTGACATTTGCCCACCTACTCGCTCAGATTGTTATTTGTAGGTAGTTTGGACCAACCCGAACCCGGATCCTTTTCACCCAAGGAGGTGATTGGACATGGCAGGCCGGCCTGCTCGTCAAGCAGCAGGGGGTGAAGCTGAACCACGTGTTCACCTCCGTCTTGCAGCGGGCGGAGCCTTGATTCAATGGGTCATCTCTTGAAACCAACGGCTCCGAGCATTTGGCAATGTATTTGATTTTCCTTTTTAAGGGTCTCCCTTATCATTGCTTCTTGGTTTTCTTTCGGTTCGCCTAAAGCCCAGCATCCAGAAACGTATTTTTTGAATGCATAGATCTTCCTCTCACGAACGAATATTTCAGGGAGTTTGGGGCAGGTACGTGCAGGATTTGCTTGCACGTGCGGAAGCGCGCGCCTCGCAATTCTTAAACACATGGGTAATCTTGGAACTGGCAGATGGATGCCCCAAAGCAGCCAGAATCAATTGGCCGTCACTTGTCATGCTTGATTCCCGCAATTCTCGGCGCCTTGGAGTTCTTTCCACTGACTTTGGCCTTGTCGGAGCCCACCCTGGAAGCGAACAAAGAGCTTTGGTTTGATTGTGTCAGCCGATTCTGCGGAATTTGCTTGGGCAATGAGAAGTGGTCACGGGGATGGCCCTCTTTATCACAGATATGGTGATTTATTGCTGTGCTCCGTCCACCTCCCGGAAAATTCGCCTTGGTACTGTACATGTTTTGTGGGCACAAGGTAAATGTGTGCAGAGTGCGGCGCCCCATTGGGGATAGGGATCCCTACTCCTGGGATCTCTCTTGATCTCATTTTACATTGCAAAGGCTCCTGGCTACACCACCCAGTGCCAAGGGTCGCCCAATAAAGAGAAGCACCCATTTTGAAGCCTGGGATCGGCTGGGTGTTTCCATTCATATCTTGTGGAAGATGGTCATCTTGCTGCTCAGTAGGGTCCTGTGGGAATGAACCGTTTTGGGATTCCCTTATAAAGGAAACCACCAGTGGGATGGGTCATCTTGCTGCTCAGTAGTGAATGTGGGAATGAACCGTTTTGGGATTCCCTTCTTAACACAAAACAACAACTACCAGTAGGATGTTTTCCCTCGACAAAACCCATGTCTCATTCCCTGCATCTCTCGCACCAATCGCAAGTTGGCGCAGGTGCGGACCTCCGAGCTGGTGTGCCAGGCCTCGGAGAATTTGCTGCCGCCCACCAAGTCCTGGCAGCTGAACCCGGGGCATTCCGGGGTGCTGCAGGCGAGACGGGCAGACGGGAGGGGAGGGCGCCAGAGGCACCAGGGAAGTGAATTCATTTTCGAAGAGTTTTGGGGTTTGGGTGCTGGTGTGGTGCAGTTACGTGGTTGAGGACTTCAAGCAAGCAGGCGACGTATATCTGTTTCAAGGACGGAGGTCCACATTGAGGGGCATCCTGGGCTGGGCCTGGACGGATCAAACTAAGATGGGCAGCGGTTTTGCCATAGCTTGGCACAAAAGGGTCCTCCTTTACTAGAAGGTGAGTGTGTGTGTGTGTGTGTTTGTTGAGGGTAGTTTGAGGGAACCTAAGAGGAAAGCCACCATTTCATTTTCTCTTGGGAACAAGTCCTTTTCTAGGGATGGTTATTTCAGGTGGGTGAGTTGTTACAATTCATCGAGAAGGAGGGTTCAGACCAATGAAGGCAGGCTTTGTCAGCCACTTGCATACTTTGTTTCACACCAAGAATGGGACATGTTGGTGTAGACTTTGCGCTCACTGACTGACCATCACATTGTATCTATGAATAGGGATGCTGTGTGGCGCGTGTGATGACAGCTTCTTGCTTTTGATTACAATATTTGGGGGATCGAATGGATCAGAATTGGCAGGAGGTTTGGGACAGTTGGTTTGCTTCTTGGGTTGAACTGCCGACGTCATGAAAGTTCTTTGTCAGAAGGGGTGGTCGGATCGCTATGGATGCTCCACTATGTCTTGACAGGGAGTTGCATGGGTCCAATGAGTTGATCGGGATGGATAGGGATTACCGTTTTACAGCCGCAGAAGACAATTCCAGCTTCCAAAGAGGCGTGTGATGGTGCACGCTGTGTTGGTGGATGCCACAAATAACCCCTAGTGTTCTATCTCCCGCAAAGGCAGCCACAAGGGATAGCTGTTTCCAAGCACCCATTCATGCCCAGGGCAGCTGTTTGTTTCAGTTCAGGGCCTAGCACGGCACCGATTCCCAAGGCATGAGTTCGCATTCTCGGCGAGACTGCACCACTTCCCAAAGACCCAGTTGCCCACTGGCATTCTCCTGAGTTTTTGAGAGTTGTCTGGCTTTGTAAGCCATCTAATCTGCATCTGCAGAAGCAAGGTGACTCGTACTCCAATTCGCTTGCACGAAGTATGGAGACCTAACAAGGGAGATTGATTGCGACCTCCCGCGCTGAGTCTTCCTGAGATCCCTAATTTGAGCACGTCAGTTTGATTCCATCATGGCAGCCACCCTGAAGTGGACAGGGACGAACAGAACTGGGCGACCGTGAAAGGCCCGTCTCTGTGTTTGGAGTTCCGCTTCTGCGGAAACCGCAAACAACACAACGCAACAGAACGCCACTCGGTGATGGATTTGGAGCTTTGGAATATGTTGATCATATCCAGTACATCAGGGTTTTGACTGCCTCAATAGGGCCATACCCATTCACATAGGGTACGTGCGCTGGCCGTAGTGCGATGTGCCCAGGGCCTTACTGAGAAGGAGGCCATCGAGATGTACGGCGAAGATAAGGCGCTGTTTTGCAGGGGGATTCTTGAATTCGTCCAGTCTTCTGGGGGAATGAGTCAAATCTCGTTGTTGACTTTCTTGGCCGCTTAAGACGTCGCACCGGCCAGCTGAGTGGTTCAACTGAAATGGGGTGTTCTGAACATCAAGGCCGCAAACCCCTCCTGAACATCAAGGGCAAACCCCTGATGTTTTCGCCTGAAAGGAACACGGCACCCCGCATCAGTTCGAAGCATGTCAGAAATCCTCATAGGAACCCTTTTCTGGGGTTCTGTTTTGATGTTCGGGCGAGTACATCACAACCCTTGCTCGGCCCCATGTTGATACCATTCCGGTCTGCAATATTATCAAGCAGATGCGGGTGGACTGGTGAACTTGTTTTTGGCTGTCGTTTTCAAAGGAAAACCAAAAGGACACCGACATCCACCGGGCAGGATCCGCAAAAGATGTGCCCATATCAACTTTAGCCCTCTTGGGGGGTGTCACACGTGGAGACCGACTCACTTCTTGCGACATTGCGCGTGTCAGGTCAAGTACTGGCGAGGCAGTGCCCCTTGTCAAGAATACAGCATGAAGCATGGAACTGCGACGATTTCGCGCGTGGGTTGTCTGATGGATGGCACTGTGCATGTCAATGACTTTTCCGCAAGTTACCCACTATCAAGACTCGATTTACTCATCAGCTGCATTCTACCCAGGTGTGCTTTATTCTAGCCGCTGAATAAAATAGTATGTTGCAGCTATTTATTGGTTTTCCACCCCGCTTCATGGCCAGCACGAGACTGGGTGAAGCACAAATTGAGCTTTATTTGCCAGGCACGGAAGACACGACGCATCACACCTTTTTTTTGGCTGCCGAGGATGATGTTCTGCCTGAATGCGTCCAACGGTCGGTGCCTTGCTCAGATGTCCAGGGAGCTTTCTGGAGCATGTTGACAGTGGCACACAATTCCTTGCTCCGAACCCGAGCTTGTAGGTTGTTCAGGCTATCCTGGGAAGACTACTTGGAGGGTCCAGAGTCCAAATAGGCAGAATTTTGAGTTTCCGGATTTCGAGAGCAGTCACTCCACTGGGTAGTAGGGCTATGGGAAGCACCGGCGGGGCGTTTGCCTCCGCCGGCTTGGTAGCAAGCAGAAAGAAGCGGTTCCAAGTGTTGTGCTGCAGACCTGCGATCCCGGAATAAGTTGATATGTTTGCTTGACCAACCCTCGCACCCATGTGCAGATGAAAAAAATGTTGTACCAAATCAAGCTCGTCAAGCAAACAGGGCTCCACCAAAGCAGCACTCCACAGCGATCAGGGAGTAGAAGCTGAACATCACATGGCATTTTGCCCAATTAAATTAGGGTTCTTCGCCCTGCCATTATCCTTTTCCAATTTTCCCTTTGGACTTCGGTGAAACTCACCAACGGCCGCCACCGTTCTCGTTCCACTGAGGACCCCCGGCACCCGGCCAACGACCCACTCTACGCGGAGGTTCCTGTGGACCAACTGCCGGGAGGTGAGTCCTTGACCACTACCATGGCGACGTGGCTTATTCGGAGAAGCTGGGGAGGGGCCACCTGGGCAACCTGGGAGAGTTGATCTTGGCGTTGTTGTTGTCGTCGTCGTTGTCGTTGTGGTTGTCGTTGTGGTTGTCGTTGTTGTTGTGTGTGTTGTTTGTTGTTGTTTGTTGATGTGTGTTGTTGTTTGTTGTTGTTGTTTGTTGTTTGTTTGTTTGTTGTTGTTTGTTGTTGTTTGTTGTTGTTTGTTGTTGTTTATTTTTGTTTGCGTTTGTTTGTTGTTGTTTGTTGTTGTTTTGTTCTCGTCGTCGTTGTCGTTGTGGTTGTCGTTGTTGTTGTGTGTGTTGTTTGTTGTTGTTTGTTGTTGTGTGTTGATGTGTGTTGTTGTTTGTTGTTTGCTTGTTGTTGTTTGTTGTTGTTGTTTGTTGTTGTGTGTTGTTGTGTGTTGTTGTCTATTTGTGTTGTTGTTGTTGTTTTGTTGTCGTCGTCGTTGTCGTTGTGGTTGTCGTTGTTGTTGTGTGTGTTGTTTGTCGTTGTTTGTTGTTGTTTATTTTTGTTGTTGTTGTTTGTTGTTGTTTATTTGTGTTTGTGTTTGTTTGTTGTTTGTTGTTGTTTGTTGTTGTCTATTTGTTTTTGTTGTTGTTGTTGTTGTTGTTGTTGTTGTTGTTGTTGTTGTTGTTGTTGCTGCTGCTGCTGCTGCTGCTGCTGCTGCTGCTGCTGCTGTTGCTGTTGCTGTTGCTGTTGCTGTTGTGGTGGCTGTGGTTGTTCTTTTTTTGTTTGGTGTTCTTTGCCGTCTTTTTGTTGTTGTTTGTTATTAATTAATGTTGCTGTTTGTTATTATTGTTACTGTTGCTCTTGTTGATGCTGCTGATATTGTTGCGCATTTGATTGTTGTATTGTAGCTGGTGGTGTTGTTGATGTTGCTACTGCTGTTGTTGTGGTTGTGGTTGTGGTTGTTGCCTGCTGCTGTTGCTGTTGCTGATTTCTTTTCTTCTTGCTGTTGCTGTTGGCAGGGGCCAAGGCCCCTGGTTTGCTGTTCTTGCTCTGTTGGCCGATGATGCTATCACATTCCACGGAATTCTTAGGAATGACTCCAATCTGTAGGCTTGACCGCGTGGTTTGGGGTCAGTACCTGTATGCTCCATATAAGCATATTATATATATATGCATTTGATATATAGGTGCCCATCAGTTCTTCGAATAGTGAGCTAGACAATCATTACGAGCCTTTCTTTCAAGATGCTCATGACTGTGACCCATACCGGGAGTGTTTGTCAAGTTCAACGTGTCCCCATCAGCGCCACCCTCAGGCGAGAGTCAAGGCATATTGGACCAACAACATTGTGCCCTTGCTCACCGGCGCCTGGGCCGGCTTGTTGTTCCGTCGAAAAAGTCAGGTCCTTGAGCTCGACGTTGGTCCTCTGGCACCCGTGTGTTCAACAGCCCACATGCTGCCCAAATGCTGTTCGTTCCCATGGCCACAGTAAGTTGAGTTGCACAAGCGAAGGTTCATCAAGTCCAATCCTTCACCAATATCTTGGGCTTCCATTGCTTTGCATGTGGGATATGCTGCCATCTGAAGGCAGCATTCCTGGCGTTTTGCGGCAACGAGACTCGCAGTGCATCAAGCATGATCAGCGTTCGATGTCAACGCTGTGCTCAAAGTCAGGGGCCCACTGGCCCATTCCGGTAAATTGACTTTGAAGCAAAGTCATGGGAACGGCCTTGGATCTGCGAGCCAACTCCATGCCCCCGTGGGTCAACCACCAGCCGGTCGCTGCTATGGTTGTCCGAAAGAAAGATAAGCCTGTTTTTTGGGGGGGGCAAGAGATGTGCATGTGTCTAAAGTAATGGTACTGGCACAACTAGTGGTCTCCTTTTTCAGTTCTTTTAATGACAAGGACCCCCAAAGACAACAAGCAAACTTGTTGAAACTCCTACAGGCTACCCTTGGAGACTGAGCGCATAGGGTGCCCAAGGGTTTGGGAGAGCCGTATGCTCAGTAGGGGGTGCCACCCTTATTGCACAGCTCCCTTTGCCATCCCCTCTTGGAGTCGCTTCCCGGAAGATTCCGTTGAAACCAAAGCCACCCTCAAGAGGTTGTTTCAGCAGTGTGTAGCGGTTTCTTATCTTGGTGGTTCCCAGCTACCCCCTTAGCTTTTAGCCTTTTCAGGTTTAGTGGAGATTCCCATTTACCCAACTAAAAATAGGTTACACTTTTTGCAGGAGATCTGAGGGCAGCCCAGTTCTGTTTTGCTTTGTGTGGCTTGTGGGTCTGCAAAAGGGCACTTGAGGCGAGAAGAACATCCTCGTGGTGGCCCACCGCGACTCCTTGCGGGCGCTCTTCGGGCATTTGGAAGGCGTGCCGCCCGGGGAGGTGCCGGACGGCACCTCTCAGACGGCGCCCTTGGTCTACGAGTTCGGCGCCTCAGCGAATTTTTGTTCGCTTTCTGAGGGTCAAAGTTTTACAACGGCGATGTCCTTCTTTCCCCTACCACTTGAGACGTGAAACTTGTAGAGCCAGTGAGCCTGGCAGATGTGTCCTGCTTTGCATGCTTTCCCGTGTTTTACAAGATTCATTTGGGCACTCCTGGTTTCGGATTCCTCTGGGGTCACTCTTGTTTTTGCTTGTCACCAACTTGCACAGCTGAAACTCTTATTTATAGTCATCCGGAGAAGGACGATCCAGGTGTAGTCTTTTGAACAAAATATGTCCGATTTCCACTGGGGTAGGTGCCAGCTGAAAAGGGCCCAGAGCTTTAGAGCACACCAAGGCCTGTTTCAAAATCATGTTTGGTTGGCACCTGCTTCAGTGTATCAAAAGTGTAATTCCTCTTTCTGTTTCGCTTCCGGCAGCAATAAGAGGCTTAAATCAGCCAGTCCATGTTTCACCATTTCCGGGCTGAAGGGCCCCTTTTGTTCGGGTTTGGTTTTTGCCCAAGTCACCATTGGCACAAGAGCTCCAGGCATATCCTCGACATCATCTTCAAACGAATAATGCAGAACCGAAGCCACAGCCTTCCCAAACCCAGGATTGGCCTTCCGACACAAGCTGCAGAAAGATTGCTGGCGAAACTTGACCCAGAACGTTTGTCTATGGCATTGGAGGCATCAGCTGTAGAAGGACTGGCGACATGTGACCCCAGAACCTTCGTGGGATTGGACGACTGGCAACATGCGACCCCAGAATTTCCGTCTATGCGATTGGATCAGGCAACGACGGCACCTTTGTGATGAAGTACAGCCTCAGCACCATGAGCCCTGAGCTGGGGCTGAACCCCGAGCGCTTGGGCTTGATGCGATTCCACAACCAGCCAGGGGCCCACCACAGCGAGAAGGTGGGTGAGGCGGGGCCCGAGTTACGGGGGCGGGGTGCTGGGATGGTTTGTAAGGGTGACTTGCCGTCCATGCGTATGGGTGTGTCTTTTTTTTTTGAGGGTCCTGTTTTTTGGGCACCCAGTTTGGGGTGCCCTTATCTTGAGACAAACCCATATTTCATCCCTTAACCATCCATCCGTGATGGGCGCGTGCGGGGATTGTTGCAAGATGTTGCAAGTAGGCCAACTGGCGCGCTTTTAATTTACCCACTTGAGTCCATCATATCATATGCTGCCAGGCCGTGCAACGCCTTGATGTCAAACTGAGGTTGTTTTGGGCCACACAGCAAAAAGGAGGTGAGGAGAAGCAACATTGGCCATGCGTTCAAAAAGTGACAGGACCGCATGTTTTGGTCAGGTGGTGTTCCTGCGGCACGGGGAAAGCGAGTGCAACCTCAAGGAGCAGTTCACCGGCTGGGAGGACAGCGGGATGACGGCCAAGGGGGTCGAGCAGGCCAGCACCTTGGCGCGAAGTGGGCAGGCTTTCGGGGTGGGTTCAAGGTTGCTCCCTGCTGTTGCCTGAAAATCGGAGGGGTTTCCTTTGACTTCCTCAACCATACCAAAGAGAATACCTTCAAAGGCAAGCACACACAGAGAAACTCACAGAGACACAAGTTCAAAGCGAGGCAAAATCAAAGCAGCACAGCTACCCATAGGGAGAAGCAAGCACACATACACATATACTCACATATACACACTCATAAACACAAACAACACATGAACACGAACGCGAAGACAAACATATGCAGAGACACAAACACAGACACACAGACACAGAGTCACGGTGGTGATCACATGGGAGGGTCTGTTCTGGATAGCTATACCGCGGACCTTGTTGAGAGAAGTATGGTTTGTGGGAGGGATCTGCAAGAGTCTGCTTCCAAGGGTTCTTCGGAGCTGTGGAGCAAGTAGGAGGCGGTTTCCGCCAACTGCTGGGGTCGCGCGTACGTGATTCGCAAGAACTCTTTGTCGAAGTTCCGAGGCCCCGGCCGCCCACCCTAGCTCCCCTCACGGAAACTGTGACTCAGACTCAGAGACAGGCAGACGCAGAGAGAGCCAGGCGCAGACACAGCAGACACAGCGACAGCCACAGATGCCACGTGCACATACAGAGACAGAGAGACAGAGAGACAGAGAGACACACACCGTACAAACACACACACACACACAAAACACACACACACACACCCGCACGTTGCTGGCATCCTGACGTTTTTGTGCTGGTCTGACCCAGTCGATGAGTTTGATCGTCTTGTTTGCCGGCCCGGCAAAGTGGGAACATGTGGGAACCACTTGTTTTTGTTCTCCAAATTTGTCAAGCTTCGGTCAGGTTCTACATTTGAACCTTCATGTTTCTCAGCCGGCTGCATACCATTAACTCCAGATTTAGCTTTGTTCAAATGAGTTCAGAAGCAATTCCACAAATATGCCCGAGATTGCACGAGCAAAAGGGCCCATGTGATCCTTGCTCGCAGCATGAAGCAGTATCACCAGCTTCACCGGAAAGTCAACAATATGCTCGAAATGACGATCTGACAAATGTTGTCGCTTTACAGTTTTCTTTTCGCATGGAGCCCCAAGCAACAAGGTGATGATTTGAATTCTTTGGAGGAACCGGAACCTCCGGTCGTTTATCCTATGGCTGTCAAGGGCCGTCCCCAAATTGGGCCCCGTAAAAGCGTCTAATCGGTTCTAGTAAGGCATAGCAGCGCCTAAGGCCTTACAATGATGACCTTGGCATGGGCCCTACTCGTCTTTCAGCCCTTGCATTTGTTTCAAGAGCAACCAGGAAAAGCTGGCAAGTACCTCAAGGCCCAGGGCTACAAGTTCAACGTGGTGTTCACCTCGGTGCTAAGCCGAGCTATTGAGTCTGCCACCTACATCTGCGAGGAGTCGGGCAACCAGGACAGGGTCTAGTTTCAACCCGCATTGTTGGGGGTGTTTGATGTCGGAAGCAAAGTCTGGCTTGGCAAACTCGCTTTTGGGATTGAGGTCATTTGAGCCACCGTAATGTGGAATACTAGAACCACCAAGTTGATTGGTTTCCGGGACGGCAAGGACTTGGCTCGCGCCCTTGATTCCTGGTTGATCTTGACAAAAAGGTAGACCATGGGGAATGCAGGTAATTTGTTTCTGGCGGGTCATAGCTGAACTTGTTTGGGTCAATTTGTTTCTTATGTGGTTCGTCTGGATTGTGGCTCATTTTGTTTCTTGTGTGGGTCGCCTTTCATACTGCTATTTGCTGATGTTGATCGAGAGCTCAGGTATGGCCTGGCATGCCATTTGTGTGTGGCAGGGAATCCCAAACATATCCTTTGAGATTTGCGCACAACGTGAAGCAAGTGTTCTGTGGCAGGCCTCCCACCTTTGATGTCTGAATCAGGACACCTAGAGAACAAAGCACCTTGCAAAAGCAACTGAAGAGGCACTGACACTCCTCTTTGGGGGATGCTCCTATCTGATGTTGGCCAACCTACCAAATTGGCTGCACACGGTGGGTGTTTGGAGTCCGCGGGTGATGTTTAGATGTTGCCTCACCCAGCTCTGGACTGTTAGTCAAGGCCTAAAGAGGGGGGATCTGGGTTCGCAGAGATCGGCATTTGGCACAGCCGCGTGGTATTCTGGCCAGTTTGCATATGTGTTTGGCGTTCCACAAAAATGTGTTTGGTTTTATTTTGGCCACCCTCGAAGCACTAACCCAAAAGGGCTCCGAGGCCACTCCCATCTAAACGCATCTGAAGACAACCATCTTTTCCAGTATGCATGGTTGGCCTGTGAGTTTGGGACGGTCCCTTCGACCTGGGACCCAAATGTACATTGGGTGTGCGGCTTTTGATGGCCTTTGCGACGGACAGTTCCTTTTGAGCTGTTTTCATGGACCCAACCGGACCATGTGTTTTGTCCCTTTCCAAGCGTTCAGTTTCTGCTAATGAAATACATGTTGCGCGTTTAAGAGGAGGGGATGAAGTTTCTTTGGGCCACTCAAACAGGCAGCGCTTGGCCCTTTCAAGGGGCGCGCCCTGAGGATGTGACGATGGTGAAGAGCTGGGAGCTGAACGCACGCCACCCGGGCGTGCTCCAGGGCCTGACAAAGCATCAGGCGATTACTTTGTACGGAAAGGAGACCCGGATGTTCCTAACTGCGGATGCGGGCCATGAATTTCAATGGACCAAACTGATGTGCAAAGCGTAATGGGAAAGTCATGTCCAAGAGTAGGGTTGGCCCGTTGGGTTCCTGATTTTGATGCTCTTGAAGCACGCGTGGGTGGATCCACAGGGGCATCCAAACAGTCGCCCAGTGATGCCTCCGAAAGGGTTGCCTACGGGCGATTCTTGTTGTGACTCGTCTGATTCGTAGATTGTTGTCCATCACGCAAGCCCGTTTCAGAAGTTTGGGAGAATCAGCCAGGCTCGCAGCACTGGGCACCTACCTGACGGTCTTGTTTTCTTAATCTAGCTTGACACTTTGTACACTCAAATTTGTCACCCCAAATACGGCTTCCTTTGTTTCCCATTGCCAAACGGCTGAACCTGGCTGGAGCGGTTTGGACTGTTCGAGCCAGACGTGTCTTTTTGGGGCTTGTCTTGAAAACGCTCCCAACGATTCACGTGTGCTTGCCTCGGGCAGGAGAAGGTGAACATCTGGAGGGGTAGCTATGATGTCATGCCGGAGTGTGTGGGCATGGACGATGCCCGCCATCCTGCCAACAACCCGCTACTCGGCCGGTTTCCACCCCTGCAAGGGGAGCGGTTAGTTGTTGCAAGATGTTGCAAGCTTGCCGTGTCGGCAGGAATCTGATCGAACAGATGGAGCCAAGCCATGTAATTCAGTTGGTGATATTGTGGCAAGACAAGGAGAGCTAGCTGCTGGGCACGTGACCTCATCCGGAGAGCGACCTGCTCTACTATACGATACTATTTGTTTGTGTGATACATGTCCTCAAAATCATGGGGTTTCTGCACGATGTGGTCCTTCCAATCCTGATGGATGGTGCAAAGAGTTGCTCCCTGTTGTAGACTCCGCCTCAAAGCAAGGAGGCACCATACACATCCATACACCGGGAACCCTTTCTCACGTGCTTGTTGCATGACTTGTTGCGCATAATTCCAGAGATGCAGCTCACAGTTCGAGCAAATGCCGTCCCCCCATGTGTTGCAATGTATTTTGATTGACCACCATGCAGTTTGCTTTAGTTTTACGGCAAAACCGGGACCTCAAAACACATCGACACTGAAAACATTGGAATTTCCAGTGCGATCTCGCTGAGGTTGTACAGCGACATCCCCAGGAAGGAGCTGCCTCCTGGGGGGGAATCCCTGGCACGGACCGTGGATCGAATCGTTCCCTACTGGCGCCAGCGCTGCTCGGCCGTGAAGCTGCGGCCGCAAAGCTGCGAAGGGAGGTAGCCTGGGGATGTGTGGAGGGGGACCTTCAAAAGGGTACCAGAAACACATAAAGAAATTAAATTGCTGGGGAGAAATGAGCACAAGGACCTGTTGTCAGGTTCCTTGTGTTTTTTTGTTGTGTTTTAAACCAATGAAAACAAGGAGATGGATCATGTCTCTTCTTTTTCAGACCTTTTCTGTCTGTATAGGGTCGGATGGGGGCTGGAAGCTTCCAAAGCAACGATTGGACAGAGATACGTTTGTTTGCATTTTAATTGTTGCGAAAGTCATTGCTGCTATCGCCTGCACTTGCATGTAGAACTCGTCACATTACTGCATTCCACATGTTTAATGTTCCTGTACTCAAGGCGGTCCTTGATGTTCAATCAACCGGCATGCAAAGAATACGCCTCGCAGTTATCTACCTGGTTCATGGCGAGCTTGTCTGAGGAACAAAGCGAGCTCGCCTAGGCTTCCAATCAGCTTACTCCTGATGGATGATCCCTTTGTGGCAGCCTTCCGTTCGGGTTTTGGAAACATCATGAATGTGTGCAGATGTGAGTATGTCTCAACCAGCCCTCAAATGAGACCTGAAGGCATCACATGTAGGAGAAAGCTCCAAAATGCTGCCCCGCTCCCCGCTTCCTGTCCCAAAGAACCTCTAATTTTGACACTTTCGCCCAAACTTTACTGGCTGCAGCTTCGGAGCAGACAAATCCTTTCTGCTTCCGTTGTTTCTTGGCATTTGCAAGGGCGGCCATTTAATGAGGGAGCGTTGGGTGCCGCGGTGGGCTTCCTTATTTCTCCGGGTTGTTTGGTGTGCCCATGGACCTGGTTGTTTTTGTTCGCTTCCGGAGACGGCTCGGAGGCATTGCGCCACGGATCGCGGCCGGGGAAACTGTGCTGGTGGTGGGCCACAAGAACTCCCTGAAGGCATGGGAACCAGAGGCATTTGAGTTGATCCCTTGGTCTGGTCTAGAGCTTGCCTTTTTGGGGGGTCAAACCTGGTGGCAAAAGGCGCCATCTCGTGTTTGTTGGTTTTTCGGTATTTAGATGTTGCGACGTTTGAGTGGACTCCATTTGAGTCCAAGTGAGTGAACCCCAAAAGTTGCAAGTGGGCAGTTCCTTTTAGGTGTTCATTTGAGATACCCTCCCCAAAGGACACGCATATTAGTTTAAGTGCCTCATTTCATGACCGGAAACACCCAATGGTCCACGTCCTGAAAGGAGTAGTGACAAGCAGCAGTTTCCGTGGCTGTTTTGCTCAGTGACAAGTTTACAAGAGATGTTTAGGTTGCTGTCACCCAAAGCATTTGCAAGCATTGATGCTTCTTGGTGTTCTTGCAGATTAAGGAGGGAGAGAGTGAGAGTCAGAGTGGGCTGTGACCGTGGAGGCGCTGTTCATGTACCTGGAAGATACTTCCGAGCACGACATGTTCGACGTAAAGCCGGTCTCTACCACGGCACCACTGGTCATGGAGTTTGGCAGGTGCAGCTTCAGCGACCGGCTGATGATTCTTAAGAAGCCCAGTTGCAACCAAGTGGCGTCTCCTTTTTTTTAAGATTTATTCCCGTTAAATGCAACCAGAAAACATGTGTTTATATCGTCCCTTTGAGACTTGGAAAGCAAGGAAGTATTTCGTGAAGCATACCACGGAAGAGGGACTGGCACAAAGCCGGTGTAAAGATGGCTCCTTCCACAAATAGCAAGGATGGCCTGCAACACGTGTGCAGTGCGCTCGAGGTTTTCAAAGGACAGTCGATGTGAAAACATGCTTGCCCTTGGAGGCTTTGTTTCACACATCTTCTGTCCCGACCATGCGGAAGAGGCTTTGCATCACAGCAGTGCGACAAGGCTCCTGCTGGCCGGGCAGAACTTGACCTCAAATTTCTCTTGTGGCATCACATTCAGTGAACATTATGGCCATCAGTTGCACCCATGAAGCGTGCAAGTGGAAAAGCGGAAACTTGAGTCATTGCCATGGGCCCAGGAAATCGGTTTTTGTTCTGCCGGCCCGGGGGGGGGGGGTTGAATCCCCCCTTGTATTTCCGGTTACTTGTTGAAGGCAAAATCACTGGAAGCTCCTAAGTTGGCATACCCAAATCAAGATTCTATCGAGGGAGCGGCATTGGTCAATCCCTTTTGGCAAATGGTCGAAGCTTGCATGCAGCTGCCCTGTGAGCTTGTGCGTCCGTCAGGAGGGAGACCCCAGGCGCTGTGCCGATGCAGATGCCGTGGTTTAACGTGATCAAACTTATTGTGCTCTGCACGAGCAAGAGCGCATTTAGTTGCATGCGTTATGCACGACTTTCCGCATTTTGCTTGCTGCCCGAAAATTGGTTTGAATTGGTTTCAACGGACGCCAGCGGAAGCGATATGTTTCATGGCTCCTTTCAGATGCAATACCGATGACCAGTCGCATGTCTGCGCCACTTGGGATGCAACCCATGATCGATTGAAAGTGCAGGCAGGACGGTGAGCTGGCTGCCTATGCGACCATGCTCCAGCAGCATCCAGAGATGCCCCAGCCCCGGTCCGTCTGGACAAATGACTGGCGAGAGGGGAATTGATGTGTCAAATGGTGCGATTTAGTTTGCTTTGGCTTCGCTGTTGCGAGTTATGAATTATCTCCCGAATTATTCACCCCGGAAAGACAAAACCTTCAGTATCGGGCCCTTTTGTGGGGTTCTTGCGTTGACTCTCTGGGAGAGAGGGGGAGTAGCTCAGCACAAGCCTTTGTTTGTGTGCAAACGCGCACAGACTACAAATATCCCGCCCCTGCCTCGGGTCGCATACCACGTCACTACCCAGTTGTTGGTTGATGGATGTCGGTCTTTGACGAACTCATGACTCTGGACTATTGGGTACTCCTTTTCAGTTTGTTCCTTTTGTTCGTCTTATGGGGCACTTGCAAGTACTACGTACAAATTAATGTGAACCCAAAACCGGGGTCCACCAACCGATGGTTTGTATGGATGAGTGCTTTAGGTTCCACGTTCATTTGAGGAGCAAGATGAGGTACCAATTTTCCATGTTTAGTGGCGTACACAGTACTATTAAGCTTGTGGCCAAAGATTACGTCCTTCAGGTGGCGGGATGTAGGGAGGAAGTTTGGGGAAACAAGTATTTGTTGGTTCTTATTTGTCCTTTTTCGATTCACACAATATGAAAAAACAACACTGAGATTCTGATGTTTGGTGCTGAACCCTGGTGTCCTCAGGCTACAGGAGCTGCTGCCAACGCTGCTGCCGGAGATCGAGCGCCAGGACCCGCAAGCAGCCGCCGCCATCCGTGCCTCGGCGGGAGGTTGAGTTTGTCGTTGGAGGCTCCGTTCTCCAGTTCGGTATGTTCGGTAGGGCGACCTACAATTCGGCTTTCCTCTTGTTTTCCCGAAAGGCAAGCTGCAGAGGGTGTCCTCCCTGTATCTTCCAACGAGCGTTCTTTTCTGCTCAAGCTGCTATTTGATACGCTTTTTGTGCTTGCGAGCGTTTTTTGGGCAAACGAGCGCCATTTAGTCTTCGAGCGTTAACTCAGCCAACTGGAAGGCTGCTTCGCAAAGGAATTGAGGCTCCGTTCGAGAACAGGTTGTGCAATGCGGTCAATGTTTTGAACCGAGCAGCAGCTTTCCTGGACGAAACGGGCCAGGCCGCACAACGAGCGCACATTCCCGCTACAAAAGCGCAATTTCCCGCCACACGAGCGCACTTCAAAAAGTGCTAGTTTTGCCACGTTCGGCGCCCGCTGCAAATCTTGCACATGAGTAGCAGAAAGACTGAGCCCACACGCTGAACAGTTTCTTCTTTTCCGATATCCGATCCGAGCGCTTTTTCTTGAACCGAGCGCTTTTCAGATAAACGCGCGGTAATCTGCACGAGCTGAAAATAACGCTCATAGGAAGATTGAGGTCAATAAAAGCCAGACCCAGTTGTTTTCAGTGGAGAGCATACCTTGTTGTTTGCTGGCCTCCCCACTACTGCTCAACCCCAAAGAAGTCCGCGATTCTTCCGGGGTCAATTGAGAGGGTTCCAGATCGTTTCTCAAAGCGCCATGACCGCCCTTGCCGCCGCTGGCTTCCGAGTTTAGATCAATTTTGAATCATAGGCCCCCAAAGGCCTGAAAACGAGGAAGCACTTTGATGGCGCAAGCTCAAGCCCACGGTCTGTCATTTCAAGCCGAAGTATTGTTTGTCGAGAAAAAAGAACATGGAACTCTGTTCAGGGTCACATCCCCAAACCGCAGCATGCAGTTGTCTTTGGGGGTTTCTTGCTGTTCAGGCGAGAATCCACAGTGACTTGGCTGCAGGTGTTGTCGGGATTTGTTGGCCTTACTCCTCAGACTTCTTCCCCTTTTGTTTTCTTTGAGGAAACCCTTGAGGAATATTGAGAAAGACATTGAACGCCTTAAGCTGGGTGTTTGTGCGAGCGGCCTGAAAAGCCGGAGCAGCTAAGTGGAGAGGAACTAGACATGAGAGGGAAACAGCGCAGTTTGTCAGATTTGACCTAGAGCAAAGTCGCAGGGACCCACTACGCGTTCAGCATCCTGAGGCACCTGATTGCAGCCAAAGCTGCGCCCATTTGTGGGGTTGATTCCCGGCATGATTGATTCTTACAGGCTTTCCCTCTCACATCAGCCATCAACAGCAATGCGCGCACCGTTCGTCCCCTGGTTGACAATTAAGCCTGGCAAGACGACCGCCAACATGACTCCCAGGCTGCTGATCCAGCACATGATGCAGCAAGCAGGCGCAGGCGCATATGCAGATCATTGGATCCTAACAATCCCCTTTGATCTTGGAAAAGACCGAACTCCCTGGAGACACAAAGGCTTCAGGGCCTGATGTGTGGGAAACCTGCGCAGGCGCAGGCAGGCCTGCGGCTGGAATGCCTGGAGTGATCCGCCTCACCGAAGAAGAGAATGCAGCTGTGCTGGACCCAGAAAATCCGGATGGGCAGAGCGGCTGCCCAAATCTGATAGCCTCAGGTGAATTTGTGCAGCCTCTTGACCGGGTTACCAAAGAGGGTGACCATTTGAGCAAACCGTGGCATGGGTTTTGGCTTGTTGGCCGTGAACAATCTGAATAAGGTTGACGCTTGAGATGATGCGTGCTTTGGTTCGGCTGGGCTTTTAGCATCACTTGTTGCTGCCAACCTGGTCGAGCATGGACCATCGCTCCGCTGAAGCTTCATAGCCTCCTGACTAGGGGCTTGAGTAGATCACAGCATGTCACCGTCAACACGGTTGAAACGTGTATACCTTTTCCATGACCATACCTCCAAAGCATGTGACCCAGGAGAGTAGTAGTAGTAGGTCTCCAGTTGTGCGCTTGAGTTGTTTCTGGTAACGAGGCGTTCCGGTGCGGCTCTTGGCCAGAGGGTGTGCTAGTATGGCTTGGTGGTGCTGGCAACGAGTTGTGTTTTCGCAATTTATAGTGTCGCCACAGCATGAGTGAGTGGAGAAGAGTTGCAGAGGCAGCTTGAGCAGGTTAGTGGGAGAGTCGGCAAGAGATGAGCCAGCAATTGACACAAGGATAGCAGAGAGCAACCCAAGCAGAGGAAGATCTCGCTACGCTTGCTCGCCTCTCTGGCGGCCCACGATCTGGTGAGTCAGATCTGGTGGAGGGGTCGGGCAACCTTGGAGTCACAAGATAATCACTTTTCTTCGCGCCAAGTGCAGGGTGTAGAAGAGGCACTCGCCAGCGAGCCACTGTCTGACAGACTCCAGATCCCGGGAGCCCGAGGGTCACCTCATGGTGTTTTTGGCGAGTCTGCTGATGCAGCGCTCGATGCCACAATTTGTTGGTGGCCTCTACACCTATAGCTGGGGCAGTTTTGCCACTGTAGACGCAAACAAAGTTGTGAGGGAGCCTGGTCCGGGAGGATTGGAGTGTTGGCGCAGGCTCACATCATCAACGCAACGTGCTGCAATCCTTGGGTCAACCAGGCGAAACCCCTGCCGTTTGAGTCGCATGGCCGCTTTGTAACATTGCACGGATTGATGCTACAGTCGTTGGAGGCTGAGATGCTTTAGTCTGAGGTTTGCTCTTCCTTCAACGGCCTGTTCGACAAACCTTCTAGCCACGCTTCGACAAAACACAGCTTGTTCTGGACCAAGGAGGACCTGCAGAGTGGCGCCGTGGACATTGGAAGAGGCAAGAAGGCCAAAGGCAAAATACTATTGTTGTGGCATTCCTGGTCACAAAGTTTCCCAGTGCGGGTAGATCGGCAAGGGCGGGCAACAAACCGGCTCAGGTGCTGGAACTTTGAAGGTTTTCGGGGGTTATGGCAAGGATCGCCCTCCCAAGAAAAAGGGCAGACATGATGGCTTCAATTCTAGAAGGCGGTGGCAAGAACCAAGCGCCCCTTGTCCGGGATCAGCCTTCTTGGAGCCATCGCGAAATTGGCTGGTTGATGCCGAATAAATGGCTTACGGCAGGTTGAGAAAGGGATCAAAAAACAGCGTCGGCAAGATGGAGGCATCTCGGAATTGGATGTTTGATGACATATCCAGTGAGGAATTGCCTCCTGAGCTGGTTGCAACGGCAAAGCAAGAAGAGTTACAGCGAACGAAGAGTAGTGGACTCTATACCAAGGTTCCAGGGTGAACTGCGGCGTCTGATCACAACGAGCTCATGCAGGACCTTGTTGTCTTTGTCGCTCAAAGACATGACAATCAACTTCAGGGTGTCTGCGAGTTCCTCCAAGAACAA